GCAATTTCTTACAACTACAGTACTGTGCCACCAAAGCAAATTCCTGTGCAGTTTTTCAGAAATTACACAATGAACAATCACATATATTTGAATGAATTGTAAGCTGCTTGATTATTAAGTGACTAAAGATTATTTTTAAAGATACTTTCAAGACTATCTGTCGACTTTTTTTCAGCTAGAAAGACTGACATGTATCACTACAAAAATTTTTCCCACTCTGTCAGTGACATCGACTCTTAGGAAAAACTGTATTCTAATAAAATCTTTTTTTTTCTTTTAATATTTTTTTAGAGTTTTAAATGCATCGGTAAAACAATATATCTTCTACGTGACATTTTATAATTTCATGAAATAATGTATTTTTTATAAAGATAAGCACTGTTTAAAGAGATTAAACGAGAACAATTTATACAATTCAGTTTCGAATAAAATCAAATAATTGCCTGAATCATAGTTTTTTAAGTGTTAAAATCTTTCTAATTTATTTTCATAATTTTTAAATATAAGCAAATATTTCATTTTATTTTATTCTTTACGACGTCTAAGTAAATCTCTCAATAGAATAGAAAACTCGGGGAGAAAACAGATTTCTTGCAATTCCAAAGTAATGCTTGTGTGTTACCTTATTTACCGTTGATCGCTAAGCAGTGAACCGCGGTTATTAGCAATAGTTCAGTAGAGCAAGTCATCAAATTGTTTTTCTTCACTGAGACGACGTTCACTCCTTATCTGATATCTGTGCATTTTTTTCAGTTATTTTGACAATAGGCCGGTAAAAACAGGTGACATGATTTGGAACAAGAAAAAAATTAACGAATTTCTCAACAGTAAATCTATTCGAAGCAGCTATTCAGATGGAGGTCTATTTAAAAACGAAATTTCTTTGTATAATAATTGGAGGATAACTTCTATCAAAAAAATTTCTTTTTTTTCTTCTATTTGTAAAGTTTTTTGCTGCGCTTCTCAATTTTCAACAAAGAATTATTGTTTAAAAAGATTTCTCACAATTCGTTGATTCTAAAACTACGAGACCATTTCGGGTAATGTAGTTAAACTTTCGTCGACGCTTTACGTTGAATAATGTGTAAGAAGAAGAAAAAAGACTAATGTTTGGTAAAAGTATAACAATAAACAAACATATTGTAGTGGGAAATTTTCTTTACAGAAGCTGTTTACCACGCAACTGCTTATTATAATATAACTGGAATGAGTGGCGTCG